TCTATCAGAGTAATACATCATCATCGACATACTCACCTGGTATTTTACTCCCTTCATAAGTCCTATTTCAGTATACTTTACTATAACAACATTCTTTGCATCACTCATATCACTTATACCCAAGCTACCAAATTTGGTAATCCTCTTTATAGGAAGGCCTCATAGCCTAATTCGGCTACTTTCAATCTTGTAAATCTCAGCTAGCTTGCTCAGATGAGTTCTACCAGTAGGCTTCATACTGATCCAGGTTAAGCTTTTATTAATAACATTTAGTTTAGTTAGTATGCTTGCTAATCTCCATTAGGAGGCTTCCAGAAATCAGCTGATTTAGGGGTAGGTGAGTAGATCAGCTAATGTGTCAGGTATAATTCTGGCTAAAATTATCAAGTTTTAGCCAAAATTAAAAAAAATTTTAAATCGAATTATAAATTAATTAATAATTAATTATAAACTTTTAATTATTAATAACTTTTGGTCTACTAAATCAATATAAATGATTTAACTACCAAAATAATCCCCTTAATGAGAAAATTTTAACAAGCCTAAAATCACAAAAATCTAATCACTAGATTCTAAAATAATATTAGATTTGCATTACTATAAATATATTTTATTTTAAGTTATTATAGTAATATAAGACTATTCATATCTTAGCATCTAGTAATTAGCTTTTTATAATTTTAAATTTGTCAGAATCTTCTTAATGAGAGAATTATTTTGGTAGTTAAATCATCTCAATTGGTTTAGTAGATTAAAAGTTATTTAATATTTTATATTATATATTTTAATTATAAGTTTTAATAAATATAAAATCTAATTAGCTGATTAGATATTAGGTGAAGGGTGGGTGAGGTGAGTTGAGGTGATCACTTAGTAAACCCTAATTAGCTAATTTTTGGAAGCCCCCTTATCACATTGGGTAGGTACTCCTGTGTGTTGGTGCAAGTTTGCTGTGTTGCATTACAAGTTACTTTATAACTTCCAAATAGTAGTTTTTTATATTATTTCTCTTCTATAAACTAACAGATTGAATACCGTCTAGTAACTATAGTGTTTCAATGCCCTGATATTTTAGATTATAAGGTGCTAGAGGTATAAATCTAGTTTGGCTTGCAGTTCATAATACTTCCAATTAATCTTAATATTCTTTGGTTTTTCTGATATACAAGCTCTATTTGTATAATATACTACCAGCCTAGTAAATCTAGCTATTTCGAATTATTACTGCATACTCTGAGTTTCAGCTTATTTATCTGTCATCATGAATCTTTTTCTAATAGACCAAGTGGCTTGAACCAGAGATGCTTCCAATTCCAGTTAGAACAATTCTTTTCCACAAATCATCCTTGTGTTCTCCACTTTTCTTATTACTCCAGTTATATTACTGTTGTATCACACTTCTAAGCAAGTATCCCACAAGTTGGATGCAGGGATGTTGGTATTGCCTTAGTTACCCTAAACAAGGACTAATATGTGCAACCTTCATACTGTATAACAGAACCTTCTATAACTCGGTATCATGCATGATACCACCATTCTATGATTGAACCTTCTTCTGAAAATTCTCTTTTCTAGTTTCATACTTGCATTTGGATTTAACTACATGGCTTTGTATTTGATTATGGCTTCTTTCTGAGTTACAGAAGCAAAAATACCAAAATTTTGTCTCTAGCCTAACTTAAACCATTAACCTAGTCTGTAGAGGTTTGACAGCTTAACCGCTAAGCTATAGTGCCCATACCCTGTATAGCCTTATTGTGTTTCTATTATACAGTATATACTTATAAATTTTTATCTCTCTAAATACAAGATTTTTTGAAATTTATATAGTATTTATATAAATTGTATTTAAAAAAAAGATGTTTTATAGAATAGGTGGCAAACTCTACCAACTTTGCAACTTCGATATTAAAAAATTAATGATTACTAATCATTAGCGAGACTTATTCCTTATATTGCCTACCTATTCTATAGAATATCTAAAAAAAGTTGATTATATTTAATCAAATTTAATATTTTTTTTTATTTAATTCTTCTACTATAGATTTATAAAATCAAGATAAAAAAAATTTACTTAATTTAATTAAATAATTGTTAAAATATAGGGGTAAATCAGTAAAAATAGGACAAATTTATCTAATAAATTTGTTTTATTTTTACTGACTTACTCTCATATCTTTGTTCAAAATCTTTATTTTTTAAAAAAATATAAATAATAATTTAAAAAGTATAAAAAAAATATTTTTTTTAAATTATAGTCAAACCTCTCTAAATGCAATGTAACAAAATCATATATAAAAATTTAGTCAAATATATATTTAAAAAGGTATTGTATTTACAGTAGAGAGGTAATAATCTATATATAATATTAGTTGAACCCAAGAGAAGATATATATTTAGAAAGGTATTTCATAGAACATGTGCTTAGAAGTAGAGATGAATCAGTTCTGAAAAGACTAAATAAGGATCAATCTTTTTAACCAGTTTTATAATTAACTGGTTCTCAGTTTTGAAATTAGTTTAAACTAATCCTCATAAATAATTCAAATAATTAATTAAAAAATATGTTTCATAATTTTTTATTTTTAATTACCAATATTATATGATTTGATTTTCTCTGCTAACTAATAAAATTAAATAATTAAGGACCATTATTGAGACCAAAAACTAAACTAAAAACATCAATAGACCAGTCTTTTTAAAACTAGACAGACTGAACCAGACTTATTTATTCCTATTTAGAGAGGTAGTATTTAAGAACCCCAAAGAACTTTAATACAACTATACTTGCTAACAAAACTATTAGGATTTAGAATTTGGAATTTGGGATTAGGATTTAAGACAAATTTTATTATATTTAGGATGAAATTTAGGCTTTGAGATTTGGGATTTGAAACAATTTTATAATATTTGAGATTTGAGATTTGAGTGGGATTTTAAGATTTTTAATTTGCCAATATGTATAGATACTACTCAGATTTGAATTTGTATAATATTAACCAAATAGATGTATAAAATGAACTAAAATTTAAAAATTTACTATATAAAAATACAATATTTGATGAATTTCTACACAAAATTTTTTTTTTAATAATATCTGAGTTATATCAGAGTTCTTCAAGATCCTAGTATTTAGGAAAGTTTGACTGTACTAAAAAGTTAATAAATTATAAATATGGTCATTTAAGGTCAACCCACACCTGATGTTACGAGACCTCTATATTATGTGACCACTGTTACATTTCACAACACAAATTGGTCATAACATAATAAGAATGCTAAATAATCAAAAAAATTATCGCTGTATCAATGTGATGTATCTCAGAATTATCATGCTATATTGGTATTATAGTACGGCGGTCATTGATCATAAATTATACTGTTTATGTTTTTTTAAAACTTCTTTAATTCGTATGGAGCAAAATGATATAAGTATGGATGACGTAAACCATACAAAATAACAAGCATGAATGACATAATAAAAAGAAAGTAATTTAATAACATAAACGGTGTAATACTCATGATCAATAGTGGCCGTGCTATAATATATATATTATCTCTATTATATATAATTAGATCCCATATATATAGTATCGCTTACAGATATAATAGTCTTAGTCATTAAACATGTATAAATATCCACGATTTCTCTCTAGGAATCACAGTTAGTTCACAACTCAGCAATAAATAAAGAGTAATCATGTCTTCATACACGAATGACTCGAGTACTTTATTGAATAAATCATAAACTTATTTACACGACTACTTATATCTTCATATATATTTAGCCGTTTGCCTCTTTCGTAAGTGCAAGTAACTGCAATAAACCTTATACTTAGCATAACACGTTATTTATCAACCGTCTACGTAACATATCCGTCGCTATAAAAGGTAGTTATCAGGTGTAACAACACCAAACGAAGTTATTGTGCCACATAATAAGAAATATCATTTCACTCCCATATAGAGGTACCCCCGGTACTAAATTGAGTGATGAAAATACTCGAGTACTCGTGTCCGACTTTTACCCAGTATACTACTAGTATTATATTTTTGACTTACCAATAAGTAATAACACTGTCTACTGTAACCTTCATACTAGGGATAGGAATCGGCTATATGATTTAGTCGACTAAATCGACTAAACATAGTAATTTACATATAAATTTTTAATCGATTCCTATCCCTACTTCATACAGTAATATATATAATTCAAAGGTCTTATTAAAAGCAGAAGGCATTTTAAAACTAATAAAAAAACAGTTCGATAAATATATTATTAAATTTAGGTTTCTAAATATTAATCTCAAGATAGTGCTTAAAGTTGATTTTGACGAATCGACATTCATTGAATTTTAATTGACACCCAGTTTGGTAATTTTTTTTTTTTAAAAAAAACATTGATCTCTGTGCCACATAAGGTTGTTACGTATAATACACCCTATCGCTACGTATTGATTCGGATTTTTATTTCTGATTTCCTTAAATGTCGAATAAAAGTTGATCTTTATACCAATAACCTCATACGTAATTAAAGGAATCAGCAAACCGCAATAATCGATTTCGATTCTCACAATGCCAATAATAATGTCCTTCTGACTAATTATTCTTCAGTGATTTTTTCACAATTCGACTCCTGGTGTGAGAAACCAAATAGTGCGAGAATCACCCAAATCGATCACTGGATTCCGATAACGTAATTAACTTAACCGAATGAGGAAAATATTTTAATTTTTTCAAAAAATATTCATTTAAATTATTAGCTTTCTTTAAATTATATCTTAAAATAACGCTCCGAGGGAGTATTTCGCAACGAAATATTTTTACCCAAAAGATTTTTTTTTTTAATTGGCTGTTAATACAAGTCCATACATTATGATTTCAAAACATGTAAATATGGCATTTGAAGTTTTCAAGTATTACAATACTCTATTGCGTGAATTTCATTATAAATATATATGATTAATAGTTTTTTTATTTTCAAAAATATTCAATAAAGACTATTTTGTTTCTACTGTAAAAAAAAAAAAAAAAAAAAAAAACAAATTTTTTTACACAGTCATGTTACGCAGACACCATCGTAAGATTAAATATGTTCAACACAGTGAAAATGAAAATACTGGTCGGTTTCAGTGCGGGCTCTTGGAACGTATCCTGTAGAACGTTAGGGATTCTATTTGTCCCTAAAGTCTAGAAACCGTGGATCTTAATGATCTTTTTATCGATCCCTTCTTCCGCGAGGAAGTTTTGGACCTTAATACGCTGGTCCCCTTGAAGCTGAATCACTTGACCAAGTTCTTCATCTTGTACAAGAGTACCATTACAAGCAAATTCCTAATTTAATGAAAACATTAAGGTGAATAAATTATAATTATTCTTAAATATGTGTTAATTTCAGACAAACCTTTTTAAATGCTTTTAGCAATTTTTTTTGATCATATTCAACTGGAAGACCTTGAACAGTAGTCAAAGTCTTTCTACCGTTTCTCTGTTGTATACGAATATCTGCAAATAACATACAAAATTCGGATTCAAGGATTTTTTTTTTTCATTTTAAGAAAAAAGCAGTTCCCATATAAATAACGGGTTTTCGTTGTTATAAAAACTAAGCTCATCTAAGGTGATGAGCTTCGTAAAGTATTGGCAATAAATAAATAAAATAAATAAATAAAAAGGATACGAATATACCCTTGAGGTCCAGCGTCGTCTTCACCGGTATCAGCGAAAGGATCTATGTAAAATGTGAGGCAAATCAATAATGTATTTTATGATATACGTGCTTTTTATGAACATTACTTACCGTAAACTTGAAGGTTTTGGATCGCGGACATAAAAAGCTACGGTTAATACTTTAACATGAACGAGTTATTAGAGAAAAAGCGAGCGTTGAGAATCTATGCCTCGATAAAACTTGTTGACTAGACTTTTTTTTCGTTCTCTTTAAAAAAATGACTTGACGGTTGACTTAGATTAGTAAGATGGATTGTTGGAGTTAACAAATTTATACTGAAAAAACAATGGTAGACAATAGGATAAAGATTTCTATTGGGCCAGAACTTTATATTACGCAATTATTTATACATTTTCAATACTTATCAATCACATCGATCAATTTAATCATGAGTCATAGCTCGTAGAACGTTACGTACGTATGTACGTAGTATTTCTAAAATTTCTTAACTCAGTTAGTCAATAGTTATCTTAGGGCATAAGTTAAAACTTATCTAATCGACAAGGGCGTGGTGAATGATTAGAGAATTCTACAGCATTCTACGTACTCGGATAGATTATCGGGCTATACCCGGATAAAGTTTATTATTAAGTACATTAATTTAAATTCAAATTTCACTAAGTATATATCTGTATTATATATTTCACGATAAGTATCATTTTACAAAAAACGCTTTAATTCACTTTCGAATTACATTATCATGCGTACTCAAACAATTCTATACACTACCACTATTACAACCTCTCGTATCTATAAACGTTACATTCATAAACTATATCCGTAACCTAAATAAATACAACAAAAAGGTTTAGAATAGTCATTCAAAATAGTATTTTTGTTCAGAACAGTATTTTTTATTTGTAAAAGGTAAACAAGACCAGTTGAGACAAAATCCCACAATTTTCACTTACTAATTGCTTAGGTTGCTGAACCACCTTCCGATCCTTCAAAATATTCACTTCTCATTTAGTTTTCTGATCTTTTGTATCTTGCTGTATCTCTCATTATAAAAAAGTAGGTTTAAAGGCGAAAAATCAGTTGCTTAAGTTTGTTGTTTCGCCACGTATTACAAAAAAAAAAAAATTTTATATGACGTGACAATTTTTACTAATAGTACCCTATCCATGGCGAAAAATGTTCGGGTCGAAAAATACTTTAAAGTTTATTTATGATCGGATTAAGGTTTATATTATATGTAAAATCTCTCAAGGAAAAATTTTTGTTAGAGCGCAGGTGGGCAAAAATACTATTCCTGATGGATCGGCAATACCGATCTTGATGGAGTTAAAAAAATTTTTTATTTGAGTACTG